TGTGCGTGCGTGCCCAAGATCCCAAGAGGAGAATGGAGGAGAAAGGATTGCGGCGTGGCCATCCCCCCTGGGGGGTGATTTCTCACTTTCTATCTCTCTGTCTCTCTTTGTCTTTCTGGCAGGCGCACGCACCCAATAGCGAAAACCTCTCAAGAAAAAAAAAAGTAATTGTATTTCACTGGCCTTTAAAGAACAGATTATTAGGATGTTATATCAGCCAAATAAATAATATTGTTCCTAAGAAATATATATGTATATACAATTTATTTGTTCTTAAGTGATTTTTGCTGTAAGGTGTGTATGCTTGCCAGAAAGAGACAGAAACAGAGGGAGGGAAAATGAGAACTTACTGCCATGGGAGGTGGTCATGCCCATCCTTTGCCTCCATTCTCCTCCCAGGATTTTGGGCATGCATACACTTTCACCCGGCATGTTTTTCATACTTCTGGGTCCAGGACTAAACTGCACAGTTCCCCACATGGGATCCAGTGTCCCAACTCCCACCACCTGTTGACCCCACACATATTTTATGAGATTTTTATAGTTTCTTTCATGAGAGAAGGAAAAAGATAAGCATCCTTTTTTGAGAGAGAGAGAGATTTTTGCTATAGGGCACATATGCTCACCAGAGAGACAGAGACACAGAAACAGTGACAAATCACCTCCCAGGCAGGATTGGTAAGTCACCAGGTCTGGGACTAGAACCACAGTTAACTCTATAGGACTCCAGCTACATAACCATTACGCCATCTGCTGGTCCCAAGATAAGCATCCTTAGCAGGATCTCACACAGTAGTCCTTCCCCCACCAGAATCATGGGTACATGCACACACATCCCCTGTATACACAGGTTGACCCAGAAACTGAATCTTGATCTTCCTGTGGCTTCCAGAGTTGCAGAACATTGTGCTGTGGCTGCACTGCCACAGCTAGGGCAGAATATGTATTTAATGACTAACCTTTTATTTATTCCCAACCTACACAGAAAATAACACTTTTGCAGAATGTATTCCTTTAAAAATGTTTTCTTTCTTTAACTTTGAAAGGTTCATTCTTGCCAAAGAGAAAAACATGCTTAATTTTCCAGGATCAAATGGTGCTTCAAAGTAATAGGTATTAAACAGCCTTGTTATCTTAGCAAGAGGTTTTTGTTTGTTTGTTTGTTTGTTTCACATTTTTTTCCTAGTCTTGAGTAGATTTAATGGTAATACTTCATGTTCCTAGTACTAGATCACATTGGGATAGGGTTGAATACATGAAGTCAGACCACCTAATTGATTGGGTTGTCAGAAAAGTCATGGCGCATTTTTGCATAGGAAGACTGAAAAATACGTCATGACTTTTCTAACAACCCAATTCTTGAAGACCAACAAGCAGGGCCAGTTACTGAGGCACGGGGTAGTCTTTGTGTACATATTCATTTCAAGTTTTCAAGTGCATGACTTCAGAAAAAATTCTGTGTTTTACTCAGATTTTTAAAAATAGAGGAAATATAAAGAAAACATGTGCAAAACCACTATCTAGCTTTTGGGCTTTATTGAAGAATTTTTCAGCCTTTATGTAGATTGACTCTTCAGGGTATACGGAAAGATTCCAGTAACTTCTCTAAGCAGTCACCTGTCAACAGTGTTAGAATTGCAGTGAAAGATTTCAGGAGAAATAGCTGTCATAGTGTATTTGATTTGCAGCCAGTTATATATACGTATCAATTGATTGAATGCTATTCTAAATGTAAAAAAATCCATTTAGATTACTTACATATATAAATAGCCTTACCACTGAAGTATTACAAAAATATAAGCCAAGTTTGAGTGCGTTCCTATGATCGATAAAATATCCCAAGATCAGGCTCTCTAAGGAATCTTAAGAGTTATGAATATGTGTCATTGGAGATATATATAATTTTTTACTAATTTGCCCAGGGGCTCTAGAAAGTATAGAATGGAGGGCGCATGCCAGCCCTACGCTTATTTTTCAGTTCCTTGTCTAAGCTGAAAATTGTTCCTTTGCTGTAGAGGCTGTAGAACTAAACCTATATACTACAATGCACGTTACTTGTAAATTCTTAGGACGAGACCAGATGGTGGCTTATATTTTGCCCAGCTCCAAGGTTTTCTTCATTCTACTTTAGTTCCTTCATTTTTAGAGATGAGGAAACAGATTGCTTTGTTCAGAGAGAGCTAGAACTAGAACACAGCCTAATACTCGCTAGCCATGCAATATACTAATGTCAGCCAAATTCGGGCATTTACATAACACCTTCAGATTTTTTGCCACATCCATGTATTTACTAATACTACTTAATGCTGTTTAAATTGAATTGCTTCTTCAAATAAGCTTATTTTTTAAAGGAGATCGTTTGCTACTATAAACAGAAAACCATCATGTTCCTTAAATAGAAAATAACTCTCAATAGGCATCTTAATCAAACAAAGCAGTGTTATGAATTTTAAATTTAATTTAAATTTAATTAATGAATGTTATTAAATTTTTAATTCTTGCTAGTATTGGTCAAAAGTGTGTCAAAGCAATGTTTTCATGTTTGATGGCAGTGCCATAATGGCTCTGCACGTGAACTCAAACCCCACTGGTGTGGTGGGTCAGCCTCATGGAGCATCCTGTTTTATCACTGCACCACCATCTGACCCCCCCCCAAGATTTTTTTCTTTAATCATTTCTTTTCTGTTTAGAGAATTTGTTCTAGCCATTCTTTTGTGGTGAGTCTGCTGGCAACAACATCTCTTAATGTTCCTTCATCTGAGAATGTCTCGATCTCCCCTCCATTTTTGTCAGCATCTGAAAACTGTTATACTGCTATCTTCAGGCTTCTGTGTTTTTCATGAGAAATTGCTGTTATTCAAATTGGTTTTCCTCTCTAGATAAGATGTTGTTTCTCTATGCTTTCAAGATATTGTTTTGCCTTTAGTTTTCACAAGTTTGTGATATATCTTGGCATAGATCTGGTTAGGTATATCCTTTTGAGGGTTTGACCAGCTTCTTTTTTTTTTTTAAGAATTATTTTAACTTTATTTCATTATTTATTTATTTTAATTTGAACAGAGAAGGACAGAGTGTGTGAGAGAGAGAAGGTGAGAAAGCAATCACCAGATCCAGGATTTGAACCATGGTCGACAATGTGGGAGTCCTGCGATCTTAACCACCATGCCAACTGCCGGCCCCTTGACAGCTACTTGGTTCTGTAGTTTTATTTCTCTTCCCAAATTTTATAAGTTTTCAGTAATAATTTCTGAGTATTTTCCCAGCTCCACACTCTTATCTCATTTTGGGCTCCAGTAATACTCCAATGACCTCTTTTGCTAAAGTCCCACAAGTTCATACTGTTCTGTTGTTGGGGTTTTTTTCTGTGTTCAGATTGGATAACTTCTGTTCCATCTTCACTGCTTCTTTACTGTTTAAGTTCACTGCTTTACTGCATTCCTTCCTTCTGCCTTTGAGCCCATCCAGTGAGTTTTTGTTTAAAATAGCTCTAATGTTCCCATTTTTGCTTCTTTTTATCTTCTGTTTCTTTGTAGAAACTTTGGGTTGTTTTTTTTTTTAACTTGTTCCATGTGTTTTCTAATTGTTTATTGAAGCATTTTTATCATGGCCGCCTTTAAACCTTTGTTAAGTAATTCTGTCATCTCCGTTTTAGCATGTATTGATTACCTTTTTGCATTATTTTTAATCTTTCTAGTTCTTGATATTCTATTAAAACCTGGAGGTTTTCATAGTATGTTATGAGACTCAATACTGTCTAATCCTTCTGTTTCTACTAGTTTTTCATGACACTGCTTTGGCACGGTAATGGGGGTACCTCTTCATTATTGCCAGGTGGACTAAGAAGTCCCGGTTCCCAACTCAGTTTCCACTGACACTAAAAGAGGAAGAAGCTTGGTGGAGGTAGAAATCCAGATTCCCCACATAACTCCACTAATAAATACCACTTGGGTGAGTTTAGGGACATGTGTGGCCATCAGGTGAAAGTCCTGACTCCCTAATTGGCTTGCTCTGACACCACCCCAGTGGGGCATTGGATCTCCTCCATAGTATCATAAGGTGAAAATTGAGGCTCCACATGTAGCACTTACTTAAGTGAGTGGCACCACGGTATTTTCTGTGTGTTTGGCTGGAGTAGACAGCAGTTATTGTCAAAAGTTTTGCCTTGCTGAGCTGCCCCTTTCTTGTCCCTTTAGCCAAAGAGCGTAAGTTTTGGGACCAGCAGGTGGCATAAGGTTACATCGCTGGATTCTCACATAGCCGACCATGGTTCAAGTCCTGGACCCAGCTACTTAAAACTAACATTGGGCACATGTATGTGCGTGCCCAAAATCCTGAGAGGAGAATGGAGAAGGGATTACTGCACGACCATTCGCCCTGGGGGGTGACTTCTCCCTTTTTGTCTCCAGTGAGTGCACACACCCTATTATAGCAAAGATCCCCCCCCCAAAAAAAAAGAGAAGAGAAAGAGAGAGAGCAAGTTTTTGTTGTGGCCTTTGTCCTTTTTTGTCTATGCCAGTTGGCATTTTGAGTTTACTAGCCAGCTCTAAATCTGGGATACATTAGGCAAAAAAAAAAAAAAAACAGAGCACTCACCACTCTCTGTTCTTTGGATCCTATGGTCCCTGCCTGATGTGTCTTCTCTCCACTTTTCATAGTCAAGTTCTTAAGTTTTATGTAGAAGGTCGAGGTTTTTTACTTGTACTTAGCAGAAATAATAGGGGAAAGTACATCTCCTATCTTCCTGAAAATGGAAGTCCTTCAGTTTTTTCTTTTCAATTTTCTTAGCCCTTTTAAATATTGGGTCATCAGAAAAGTCATGATGTATGTTCCTGTGTTTTTCTCTGCGAAAATACATCATGATTTTTCCAACAACCCAAAGAGTTTTATGTCAGGTGTATAACAGTTACTGAAATGTTGTGTACTTTGTATATTTGACACTTTGCACAATATTTTACTCAAGGACAAATGGAAAATAATATTTAAGTTGAAATTCATTGTTCACATTACTAATGAAAGCTTTTCCCTCTCTAGGAAATAATGCAAAAGGTGTCCCGAGGCTCTTGACCAGTGAATAAAGATTTGAGAAAGACAGCCAAGCTCATGTTTTCTCCTGATCAAGAAAATCATCCATCCAAAGCACCAGTAAAATATGGTGAACTCATCGTCTTAGGGTAAGGTTATTTCATTGAAGACATAAAACTGAATAATGAATAGTAACTTTGGCATCTAGGTTAAAAGTCCTTTCTAAAGAGTTTTATCTACTTCCAAAAAGAATGTAAAACTATAGAATAATGTTATCAAATCAAGAAACTCTTTTTCTGTTTATATTCATGCCACCTTTTTTTTTTTGGGAGAGGTTTTTTAGCTATAGGGCGTGTGCACTCACCAGACAGAGACATAGAGACAGAAAGCGAGAAATCATCCCCCAGGGGTGATGGTCAAGCTGCAATCCCTTCTCTGTTCTCCTCTCGGGATCTTGGGCATGTACGCACACACGCCCAGCGTGAGTTTTAAGCCACCGGGTCCGGGACGCGAACCGCGGTCGACTACATGGAAGTCCAGCAACATAGCCATTACGCTAACTGCTGGTTCCCGCATGCCACCTTTTATAAGTACTCAAATAAGTTAACCCCAGAAAGGGCAACATTTCTTAAACATAAAATGAAAAATGTATGTGTCTAATGTCACATACTTATTCCATTTATCTTCCCATCCTTCTATTTTTTAGAAAAATTGGCCTCCATTGACTTTACCAAAAATCATCTTCCTCTGCTTCAGGTTGTTTCATGTAGCTTGGTATTTACTTGCTGCATTACCCCTCTGAAGTGGTGGTTGCTGTGTGCTCATGGTCCAGCTGTGCTGTACTTAATGAAAGGAGTTGTGTAGATACGTGGTCACAGCGTGGTGATTCTGAAGCTTGGGAGCTTGCTCATGTTTGCTTCAAAAGGAATCTCAGTCATACTCCCAGAAACACAATCTGAAGATTGAGGAATACATGATTCCATTATTTTAGATTGCTCCATCTAAATTTGCCATAACTGTCAAAACTGAGATGGTTCGTGTTAGACTCTAACTAGAGATCTCAGCTGAGAAATTGACTTTCCTCCTGCTATTTCTTTTCCTTCTGCCTAAAAAGCAGCTCTAGGCAGTGCAGTTTGTTTGAGAGTCAGTTGTTTCAGATGAGAAAATAAGAGAAATCAAGTTGATGATAGGGGACTATTGCGCTTGACCAGAAGTCAAGACTCCTAGATCCCAGGGCCTGTTCTAACACTGCTAACTGTATGACCTTGAGCAAGTCACTTAACCACTCTCAGCCTTCATTTCCTCCTCTGTAAATGCCAGTGAGACAAGATCATCTGAGGCCCTCTGAGATTTCAATTGTTTTTCCCCTCAGAAACAGAATTGAAAAGATCATAAACTTAATATAGTAACTTACACTGTTATAACTTCAAATAACATAGATTATAATGTATTAATGACAAACAGTTTTAACCTTCAAAAAAACTACTCTAAATTATTCCACAGGAAATTTGAGAGTCATTTGAAAAATATTTAAAACTTAGTATTTGGTTTTAAACTGCCTCTCTTACCCTAGAAATTTCTGTTTATCAGTAGCAATAGTAATTATCTCTGTATCTAGCACTTAGTGTCTTAAAATGCAACTCTGCTTCTCAGCCCTCTAGAAGAAGTGGGGCTGAACAAGGTTGTCAGCTCTGTGCCATTGCTACTTAGAAAAGAGTTTTGAACTATTGGAACATAGTGTGGGAATAGAGAGCTTAGATCGAGAAGAGGAATGAATCATGCAGCTCAGAACAGTAGTAAAGGTCGGTGAAGAACCCACGGTGGGGCCAATGGCAACACACAGCCTTGAATAACAGAATTAAGGTATTAGACAAGGGGCTGTACTTTGGACTTACAGCAAGGCTAGCAAGATTAACCAGGGATTTCTCCAGTGCAGAGTATTATTTTTTATAAGGGATCAGTATAATTTATCCACAGTCCACATACCACATAACATTTCAGTTGGCCCATATGACAGTGGTCCCATAAGATTAAACCATATAGCTTAGGTATGTAATAGACTGTACCAGCTAGGTTTGTGTAAGTAACTGTGATGTTCGCACAACAGCGAAATTGCCTAATGACACATTTCTCAGAACATGTCCTCGTTATTATGAAGCAATGTGTGACTGTATTTGGCAGTCACTGAGTTAACTCTTCTCAGCTTTAAGCATGATTTTTCCTTGTCAGCTGCTACTGTGAGCCATTTTGGAATCACTTTTCTTCTCCATTCTCAAAACTGTTCTTATTCCCTGTCTCATGTCACCTCAGTTTGACCAACTATATATAAAGAAATCATTAAACTAAAGATTTCATTGTGGGAAGGGAGGGAGGACAGTGAATGAGGAAAGATCACCATTGAGCTACTGCTCATGCCTCCATGAAGCAGTGAAGAATGACCAAAAAAGAAGAAGTATGATAAACATACCTGAATTCAGATTCTGGCTTCTCTATCACTTTGTGACTGTCCGAAAAGAACTTACTTCCCATGAGCCTGTTTCCTAGGCTGTAAAGATGAGAACCGTGATGCTAATCGTGATGAGCTTTAATGAGGGTAGATTGAGTGAGGTGATGGACGGGGTAGACCTCAATAGTGTAGACATGCACGTTTTTTGGTAACTTTTTCCCTGGTAGTCCAGTTCTTCCTTACTTGCTTACCTTTACATCATGTGTAAGTTATGGAGGAATGGTCAGAGGTCTGAAGTAACAAAAGTATATTTAATCACTACTTAGCAGATATCTAAGAGGTTCTGGAGAGGTTCTGCCAACGTAGTGTGAATATGTGTATATACATTCAGGTAGCTGAGACTTAAGTCAAAATTTTCTTACTTCGGGACCAGCAGTTAGCGTAATGGCTATGTCGCTGGACTCGCACGTAGTCGACCGTGGTTCGAGTCCTGGACCCAGTGGCTTAAACTCACGTCAGGCACGTGTGCGTGCCCAAGATCTCGAGAGGAGAATGGAGGAGAAGGGATTGCAGTATGGCCATCCCCCCTGAGGGGTGATTTCTTGCTTTCTGTCTCTCTCTTGTCTGTCTGGTGAACGCACGCACCCTATAGCAAAAATCTCTTAAAAAATATTTTTTCTTACTTCAGAAAGTTCAGCTACTTAAGGTGTTTGGTTCACAATTAAAGGAGATTCTATTTTAAACAATACATACTGTACTCTTAAAGGTTGTATTAGCACATGCAAGCATTCACCTAAAAAAAAAAAAAAAAACAGAATGAGTCATAAGGACTCAGATATGCCATTAATCAGCTCCTGATTGTCTTCAGTAAAAGAAGAGAAAAAAATATATAAAGAACTCAGAGCTATGTGTAATCCAAAAGGTACTTCTCTGTGCCTTGGGATTTAGCCAGAAGAATCTTGGTTTGTTTTTTGTTTTTTTTTTATACACAGGCAGCTGGTCTAGAGATCAGCAATTGCTAAAAGGAATTTGAGATTATTATAATGTGCAAATAGATAATTAATTGGGGATCGATTCCACAAGGTGAAGTAAAATTGTTTCATAATTGTGTGGTTCTTATAAGAGATCACCTAAACTTTTTTTCCCCCTTATCAGGTATAATGGGTCTCTCCCAAATGGCGATAGAGGAAGGAGGAAAAGTCGGTTTGCTTTGTTTAAAAGACCTAAGGCAAATGGGGTGAAGCCCAGCACAGTGCACATTGCTTGTACTCCTCAGGCTGCAAAGGTAAAAAAGAAAAAGAAAAGGCTAAATGAATTAACCTGGAGACGTTTTTGAAAGACATTCGCTATTGTTCATATTCTCTAGCATTCCCCTCACATTTCTATTTCAGACATTTCTTTTTGTTTGGGTTGGAGAAAAGACTTTGAGGACATGGTATTTGAATTGCTGCCATATGGAAGGAGAATTGGTTGTTTTTTTAAATGACAAACTAGAATCGATGGGTAGAACTTACAAGAAAATGTTCTTTCCTCACTAAAAGGGGTGGAGGCAGGCCCAACTTCATCTAATATTTAGAACTTGGCCACTATCTCCCCCTGAGAAAGAGATGCCCACTCTGTTACTAGAGGAGTCTTACCTGGGCTGGGTGGAAGAATGTGGTGTAGAATATGTAGTCAGGTTCAAATGCTTGTTTGGATGAGGTAATTTTTTAACTAAGGATCTTTAAGATTCTATAGATGCTTTTGCTTTTTTTTATTTTGGTTCATATTATGACTCACATAGCTTTCAGCACAGTGGCTTGTACAAAGTAGACTCCAGTAACTAGATTGAATCAAAAGTATGAAAGCAAATACCCTCGTGTATCTGCAGTATCATTTTCAACCCCTACCCTAGTTAATGCTTTTAATAAACCCTTTTTTTTACCCCTACCAAAATCCCTAGAACCTGGACCATTGAGTGATGGATAAGTAGAGGAATTTCTTTACATTCCCTGTGAATTATTCTACTTTCAATTTTGTAACACAGACTGAATTTGATGCCATGACGAGCAAATTGAAAAATTAGAATCCTTTGACTTGTGAAGTAGAATTTTCTATACTTTAGCTATGTAGCCCTAGGATGCATGTTAATATACCATCTGATGAATAGCTCTGTAAGTTACAGTGAGACACAGTAAAATTGGTGTACATTGCCCTGTTTTAGGTCACAGACCCAGTCCCTAAAGTTAATTGGATTTTTCACTTTGTTTTATATCTAGTTTTGTGTGTGAAATGGAGTCTTCAACCTTGAATAGGCCTCCGTTATTACTATTGGGTTATAGGAAATGTTATGACGCATTTTTGCATAGAAAAAATGTCATGACTTTTCCAACAACCCAGTATTAAGGAGTGAGCATAGAAAAGGAACAGTTGCTTTTTAGGTGTTTTGTTGTTTGATTTGGCTTTTCTGGGGGGAGGTGGGAATAACGTGGGGTGTTGCTACTTTGCCAAGAAAGGATGTGGTAAAAGTGGATGGTTTATTGGTCCAGCCTGAGGAGCTTCTCTTAACAGTAGTTCCACACAGGAGTGCTCTTTGCACTTTGGGTTGGCCCATTCTTCATTGTGCAGGACTGTTCCACATACTGCAGGATGTTTCATGTTCTTGGCCCTCCACCCACTAAATGACATTTGAACCCTCGAATCATTGTGATAGCCAAAAAAATTAATGCACTTACATATTTTCAGATATCTCTTAGACAGCTAATACTGCCTATGGTTGAGAACCACTATAAAGGAAAACATTTCTGATTCCTCTATAATATCCTATTCTTTTCTTTTCTCCCCTTCCCATATTTCCTATGTCATTCCCTCATGTTTTCATTGTTGCCTTCTTTTCCTCTTTATCAGGCAACAAGAATATTAGGGATTAATATTAGTATCTTTCCACTTTAAATTTTAGAGGAATATATTAGTGAGGTTATGAAGAAAACTGTTTAGTCAGGCGATCATCTGGATAAGTGATTAAAATCCAGTCCAGTAAGACGCAGCTTTATAAATCTCTCCAGAATGAATTTTCGGGGCCAGCAGGGAGCATGGTGGTTAAGACGCTGGACACTCCCACGTGGCCTACCTCAGTTTGAATACTGGATCTGGTATCTTGCATGCTCACTTTTCCTCCCTCTCTCTCTCTGTATGTCTCTCCCTAGTCAAATTAAAGTAAATGAATGAGTAAATAAAAAATTAAATAAAGTCATTCTTTTTTTGAAAAAAGAATTAACTTTCAAAACACTGAGTGATTATTTGATCAAAAAGTCAGTTGCTTGGGGCCAGTCAGTGGCATGGTAATTAAGGCAGCTAGATCTCACATGGCCAATTGCATGATTCAGGTCCACAATCCAGCAGCTTAAAAAATATGCTGGGTGCATGCACATGCATGCCCAAAATTATAAGGGAAGAATGGAGAAGGGACCATGGCATGGCTATCCTCCAAGGTGGGTGCTTTCTCACTTTCTCTCTCTCTCTCTCTCTCTCTCTCCAGTGAACACATGTGCTCTTAAGCAGATTTAAAAAGAAAAAAATTCAGCTGCATAATCCTGAGTTAAGTTGTAGATTTTAAAACCTGTAAAGCAGGAACCAACAAATGGTATAATGGTTATGTTGCTGGACTCCTGTGTGTTGATCCGGTGACTTAAAACTCAACACCAGGTTCATGTGCATGCATGCCCAAGATCCTGAAAGGAGAATGGTAGAGAAGGGATTGTTGTGTGGCCATCCCATCTCCCCTAAGGGGTGATTTCTCACTTTCTGTCTCTCTGGCAAGCACACATGCCCTATAGCAAAAATCTCTCTTAAAAAAAAGGAAACCTATAAAACAATTATATAATGTTTTTTAATACATAAATGTGTGGTAAAAAATATTAACAGCATGCATGTAAATGATCTATACTGCATTCTTGGCCGGATACCTCTGTGAAGAAAGGGGAATCAGGAGAGACACGATTTTTTTTTTTTTTTGGAGAGGTTTTTGCTATAGGGCACATGCGCTCGCCAGACAGAGAGAGACAGAGAGATAAAAGGCGAGAAATCACCCCCCAGGGGGGACGGGCACGCACACACACGCGCCTGGTATGAGTTTTAAGCTACCGGGTCCAGGACTTGAACCGTGACTGACTACGTGGGAGTCCAGCGACATAGCCATTACGCTAACTGCTGGTCCCTGGGGAGACACGATTTTATCTATGAAGTTTAATTTCTTTTAACAAAAAAATATCAAAAGCAAAAGTGGCATTGTTAAGCTTTAATAATGTGATAGATAGTGCCCAAGTCTTTGTTTATTCCTTTTGTATATTTGAAATTTTGACAGTCCTAATTAATCATAAAACTATTGTCTTAAGGCTTCTTCTATTACAGATTAGCTACAAACTGAAATCTAGTAAAATTTTATAATGCCAAACTTCTAATTAAGAAACATTTTTTTCTTTAGGTGCTTTATAATCACTCTTGTGTCTTTGTATCTGTTTTCCTTTTACGCAACTGTTTCCACTTCCTTTGTGCAGTGACTAGGTTTTTCCCCTTCTCTGAAGTTCTCTCCAAAGAGTATGCACAAAAAAGGCTTGAAAACAAAACTGAAAAGTTCTTTTTAGCAATGTTTTTAGTTTAGGGTAAGTCAGAGGTACAGTCATGGCATTATATTCATTTCCTTTGGTTATGTTTAATCATTCTATGAAATTTTCTGTTTGGAACCCAGCATATATGGCAAAGATTGTCATCTCTACAGTCACAGACTGGTTAGAAAATCAGTTAACCCTGCTTACCGTTTAACTTTATAACTTTTGAATTACTTTAAACATAAGATTACCTCTAACCTCATAAGATTTTGTATTGTTATCAAAGCAGTACTAAGTACTGTTTTCAATTTCTACCTGGGATTTAATTTTGATTACTTTATCATTTAAAATGTTTATAGACCCAGATTGTGTAGTGTTTTGATAGAATTAAATTATGTTCTTACTCTCTTACTGCTTCCAACTATTCTATACCCACTTGGCCTGAGAAACCACTGTCATAGCTGAGGTTATTCAAGAGTTATTAACCTGTATCCTAAATTTGGGGGGGGGGGGGAAATACACATGCATATGTTATATATATATATAATAAATAGATTTGCCTCTTTTTAATAAAAGATTGCCTACCTGATTTTATTGACCTGCCTGCTAATTTTTGCTATTAATCTTTTCATTCTTAGGCAATAAGCAACAAAGACCAGCATAGCATATCATATACTTTGTCTCGGGCCCAGACAGTGGTGGTTGAATATACATATGACAGCAACACTGATATGTTTCAGGTATTATAACATACGATTTTTTTTTTCTTAGAAACCAAAAATGCTAAGAATGTGTTGGTGAATTTTGCTGTGGTCACGTTAAGGACTATCATATATAATTATGTATTTTCATTAAAATACATTGGTTTTTAAACCTCATGTATAGAAGTCAATGTGACATGGTTAAGAGAAGGGCTCTGAAATCAGAATTTTTGGTAAACATTACTGAGCTGTTCTATGCCTTATTTCCCTCACTTACAAAGTACAGGCAATAGCATCTCCCTCATGACATTAGGTGTAAGTGAGCTCATGCAAATGAAGTACTCACAGCTGTGCCAGGTTCCTAGCCGACTCTTAGTAAACATTAGCTATTATTATCCAGAAGAGGAAATCAAGAAATATTCCACACATATTTATGATTTTTATTGCCACTTCCCACCTTTTTCTCTAGGTAACACAAAGTACAGGCAGTTTCTAACTAACATGAGTTCCATCCCATGCATATGAGGTCAAACTTGTTTTCCAGGACATATTTGGTCAAAGCTACTGTTGCAATAAAAGTTTTTTCCCCCTGTTATTCTTTATACTAATTACTGCTGTTGTTTCCATAAACTGATAGATTATAGAACAGTTGAGGCCAAAAAATTCTTGGTATTTTCTCCCTTAATGTTGGGTTTTCTAAAGGTTTGGACTTTTTAAAAACCAAATTAAATAGGACATGTATGTGATCAGATGCCATTCATTTTCACAGGTATAGATGTCCCCAGAGTTGATAATGATATGTTTAAGCTTTCAAAATTTCAGAGGGTTAATGTTTTCATCTTACTGTTCCTTTCTTGAATGGATTTTCCACTGTATTTTTTGAATAGGTTTATAGATATTTCTCTTTCCTTTAGATTGGTCGGTCGACTGAAAGCCCCATTGATTTTGTAGTAACTGACACAGTTCCTGGAAGTCAAAGTAATTCTGATACACAGTCCGTGCAAAGCACTATATCAAGATTTGCCTGTAGAATCATATGTGAACGGAATCCTCCCTTTACAGCACGGATTTATGCCGCAGGATTTGACTCATCAAAAAACATCTTTCTTGGGGTAAAAAGCTTTTTTCCTAAATGTTGCATCCTTTAATACTATTTTCTATTTCCAAATTTTAAGTAAATGGTAGCTCACTTCTATTATTTCTCCTAGGAGAAGGCTGCCAAATGGAAGACATCTGATGGGCAGATGGATGGCTTGACCACTAATGGCGTTCTTGTGATGCATCCACGCAATGGGTTCACAGAAGACTCCAAGCCTGGAATATGGAGAGAAATATCAGTGTGTGGAAATGTGTTCAGCCTGCGTGAAACTCGATCGGCTCAGCAGAGAGGAAAAATGGTAAGTACTAAATTTGTAGCTTCTTAGGTATGATAAACACATTGGGATGAGTTGGACTAAACATGTTAACATATATTAAAAAAAGCACTAATGTTGACCCAGAGTTCTGTCAAACACTACCAAATACTCTTATTAGAGAACCGTATCTTAATGTTTCAATTAGAAAACTATATTTTTTTCTCTTCTGTCCTATTAATATATTTTTTTCAAAGAATTGTTTATTTAATTTTATTTATTCATTCATTTATTTTAATTTGACCAGAGAGAGACACACAGAATGAGAGAGAGAGAGGAAGTGAGAAAGCAAACCACCAGGTTCAGGACTTGAACCATGGTCGGCCACATGGGAGTGACCAGCGCCTTCACCACCACACCACCTGCTGGTCCCTGTTAATATATTTTAAGACCTAAGTTTTCTTATATTAGCACTCTGGTCCCTCTACATCTATCTGTATTTCTTTGGCCATATTTACCTAATTACAAATATTAGACTTATTGATTAGCCAGATGTTTTGGTCATAAGTTTTCTCTAAGGCTAAAAAGCGATCTATTACTGTTCATTATTTTATCCTGGTATTCAGACTTACATATTTCATGACTGCTATCAGAATTTCTTGAATATTTTGTGATAACACTGAGAAATTTCATTTCTTGAATTAGAACCACTTAAAATTAAAACTCTTATGTACAAATTCAAAACATAGTGGTGAATATGTTTTTGATTCTTGTCTCCTCTAGGTGGAAATTGAGACCAATCAGTTACAAGATGGCTCATTAATTGACCTCTGTGGTGCAACATTGCTGTGGCGTACGGCAGAGGGCCTTTCCCATACTCCTACAGTGAAGCATTTAGAAGCTTTAAGACAGGAAATCAATGCAGCAAGACCTCAATGCCCTGTAGGGTTCAACACACTAGCGTTTCCTAGTATGAAGAGGAAAGATGTTGTAGATGAAAAACAACCTTGGGTATATCTAAACTGTGGCCACGTACACGGCTATCATAACTGGGGAAATAAAGAAGAACGTGACGGAAAAGATCGTGAATGTCCTATGTGTAGGTCTGTTGGTCCCTATGTCCCGCTTTGGCTTGGATGTGAAGCTGGATTTTATGTGGACGCCGGCCCTCCAACCCATGCTTTTAGCCCATGTGGGCACGTGTGTTCAGAAAAGACAACTGCCTATTGGTCCCAGATTCCGCTGCCTCATGGTACACATACTTTTCATGCAGCCTGTCCCTTTTGTGCACATCAGTTGGCTGGTGAACAAGGCTACATCAGACTGATTTTCCAAGGACCTCTAGACTAACAGACAGTTGTCCTCTAGGACTACGTTATACATTTATAAGCTAAGTAAATTGGGTTTTCCAAGCTGTTGTCCGCGTCACAGTTTCTCTGCTCTGGTCATTTGCATTAAAATGAAGAATTTTTAAAAACATTTATAATAAATACTACCAATTTCTGAGCAAAAACCTGGGAAACTCAAGGAAAGGAATTTCTGAAAGTACCAGACTTCTGAATTCTGGGTTTTGAAAATATATTTTGAGGAGAAAAAGACATAGTCTAATTCGATGCCTTCGTTTTAGTGTTTTTGAATCACCCATCCTCAGTGTTAAATTGTTTTGTATAACTGAGGGTACTGTTGGTTCAAACTATGTTAGTTTACAGTTTGTTGCAAACATTGTAAAATACAGCAATGTGTATATTAACTCTTTTTCTATTTATCTTTATTATAGAAAATACCTTAGAATGTTCTGGATAGAGTAGCATGGTCACGATGGCGTCACACCCTGGGTGTGAATGGTAGCTTAGTGAGCACATCGCTCAAGGATTCGCAGTTAGGAAGGACAAGGGCATCCCCCCCCCTTTAAATATGGAATTTGGTAAATTAGAATACTTTGTAAAACCAAATTCATATTAATTATTCATTGTGTTAGAAGTGTTTGTTTTTAACCACATTGAGATAATCAGGAAAGATTTTTTTCCATAATGTTTCTCCAGTGTAGTACTATAACAGAAACTTAATGCTAAGAAACATTTTATATGCTCCTTTGAATATGCAATTTAATCTAGATTATCTATTTTTCTCCCATGATAACTAATCTGTTTTTAGTATCAGCAACATTTGGCAAATTTATTTTTTGGATATAAACTGTGGTTCATCTGTTCACTGTTTCTAGAGGGAAAAAAAAAATTCCCATGAAAAAAAAAAGCATAAATTAGCAAGAAAGAATGACATGAATTGCTTTTAGAAAAAAATAAATGCTTAATTATTCTGTGTTTATAAAGCCTTATCTCTAGGCATGGGGAAATTGAGAGATAGGAAGGGCTGAGTGACTCTAGTGGCCCCATTTTTAAACCTAGCAGACCAGCCTTAACTATGGGCTTGAATCCTAAGAAGAGTTGCCATAAAATGATGCAAGGAAGTAACTGGTTAGCAACTGAGCACTAGTGACAGCAGAGCAGAGGGACACACTGCATGGTCTGTTTACTTCCTAATCCCAGTAAGTCTTCTGCTTTCAGAAGTGAGAAAAGGAGTATTTTCCTCTCTTCCCCTCCCACCTTTTTAAAATGTACCACAAGAGAAGTATAGACAGTTGCACTACATCAAACCTTTTTTGGACACTTGTAGAAATCAGTACACCTTTAGATTAGACAGAATAATTTTTTAATCTTTTGATTTGTTTTCCTTCAGTTTGAAGAATTGTATGATGTTTAATTGACTGTAGCAGATTTTTGTATGTGGTAGTATAGCTTTAATTTCTCCTAGTACAGTGGTGTTCTAAATTTTCTTTTGGTTTTAAAAACACAAAACTTATTGCTTAAAAGCCATGAACTTTTTATGTTTCCTTCAACTGTCAAAATTTCCTTGTTTTTAAAAATGATTATTTGGGTTCACTCAGGAAATGCATGTCAGGAAACTTGTATTATAAGTTTATTAGTTGTGATGTATCAATAACTGCTGTTACCCCTTTTTCAAAGAAATATAAATGATTTTGAAATTTTCTAGATTGTCACATGCTTTGTGACTGATGCAAGGAAATCAAGTCCTGTGTTGTATTTGTTATAGTCATTTCTATTCAGGCATATTGTAGCTTAATTTTTATTTGCAATTAATTTATTCAAACTAAGTAAATACTTTTCAAAACAGATACTTGAATTTGTCTCTGTGAATTCATTTTGCATAATGAGAATGGGAAACCAGAATGAAGACTGTTGACAAATCTACCCATACTCCAAAAATATTCATTTGAAGTAGATGAGTTTGCATTTCATATAATACTTTAAAGCCTCTGGTTCTCTTTGGAAAGCAGCTCTTACTTATTAATAACGGAACTTCGTTAGTGGTTGAATAACTGAGGCCTTTTCTAAGTTAAGTCCTGCTAGAAAGGTAGCTCTTTCCAAGTTGTATACTAGGCTGTTTACATTGTACCTTGGTGACCATAAAAAAATGTATGGTCTTCCCAAAGTGCCTTAATTTCCTCGTAGCAGCTGGAAATAACCTAGTTCATTTTCTATCAGATTCATGTTTTGAAAACATAGGCAATTTCAATTAGGTGTTTTCTATTCAAATATTTTGGATACTCATTCTATTGTTTTGCCAATGCCTAATGGATCACTTTTTCTTACTCAGTTGTATTAAGAGAATTCAGCATTACGGCCAAGGAGGAGGAAAAAACATTATATTTAGGTTTCCTAAATGTCAAGAAAGTTGTTTTTGGTTTTAATAGTAGAAAACATATGCACGTACACAAGAGAGAGAGGAGCACCCTCAGCGGGGTCACGTCATGCCACAGTCTCCCTTCTCAGCACTCTAGCACATCAGGATCCTGGGTACCTGTGCATGCCCACACTCAACAGATCTTCAAGTTTGCCCAGGGACCCATGCTGCAGTCAGCCATATGGCTTCCAACCTTGCAGGGCACTTGCATCATAGCACCACAAGGACTGAGCCAAGAAGAAGAATCTGGCTTAACTTTTCTATCAGAGCAGTCTCTATATTTAAATGTTCCTTAAGTTGTACAGGGAATTAACTTTTCTCTCTGGAACATTAGAATTATAAAGCAAAACATGAAAGGCAGGCATTCAGATATAAGAATCTTTTACCAGGTTATCCTTTTGAATCTGTAATTGCTTATTTCTTCCTTCATACAAACATATTCTAGTATAGATAAAGCAGAGTAGGAATAAATAATGTAAATATCCAATTACATCATTTGAGTACTGTGACCCTACCTTTCCCCTAGTATGCCTCAAGAACTGAGTATTGCCTGAACTTCTGGCAGATTAAAGTGAAGGCATCAGTAAAAATCCATGTATTATGCCTTTTTAATTTATAAGATAGGGCCAGCAGGTGGTGTAGAGGTTAAGAATGACTGGATCCCACATGGCCAACAACAGGGTTCAAGTCTTAAGCCTAATGGCTTGTAAAACATGCTTGGCGTGCAGGTATGTGTGCCCAAATTCTCAGAGGAGAATGGAGGAGAAGGGATTGCGGCATGGCCATCCTTCCTGGAGGAGATTTCTCTCTCTCTCTCTCTCTCTCTCTCATTCACACACCCACACCCTGCAAGCACACACACCCTGTAGCAAAGACAAAAAAATACAGAGAATATAAGATAAACAATTTTAACACTTTCACCCTTCATCCCAGTGGATCATCTTTTGCCAGTCTGCTTTAGGGACCCTCTGGTTAACAGATCTGTGACAGATTCCTTTTTCTTTTCTTTTTTATTAAATGGTGGAATTCTTGGTAATATGTTTTCTTTTTTTGTACTAAAGTTTTAATGTAATTTATTTTTAAAAAGTTATTATTATTTATACATTCTATTGCTATACATTATTTAGATTATAAAAACTTTACCCAGCATGATATACACCGTAGTCCAGCCCAGTTGAGAATACTACACACATCATCATCGACAGGTAATAAACCTCGTATGGTCCCACAAATGTCTTACCTCTCTGTATTTCCCCAAAATTTCCTTTTCTACACTCTTCCACTCCCCACTGTCTATCCATTTTGTCCCTCGTGTCCATAACAATTTTCAATGCTTATATGTCCTTTTTCTTTGTAAGAATTAACCCTGTAGTAAATTAGAGCAGCATTTGCCTGTCTCTCACCTCCACTTTCAGAATTACTCTTAAATGGAGACGGGAAAGTCAAGATGCGTTTTTGCTTAGAAAAATAAATCATGACTTTCCTAACGACCTAATATACGTGTCTTAGTCTGCTGTTGTGTTGCTAACAGAAATACAAGACTACGGATTTACAAAAGTACAGGTTTTTCAGCTCACAGTTTGGAGGTCCAAGTTCCAGGAGCCATATCTGGTAGGTGTTTTGCAGTCTGGATCACATGTAGGCGAGAGCAGCTGTCCCTGAGTCTCTTCTGGTCCTCTGTCCTTAGAACCCAGTAGAACTCAATCACTAGGGCCCCATCCTAATCACAATCATTCTCTAAGACCTCACCTTTTAAAACCTTAATTGATCAAGTCTTCATCCTTAATCCCATTACACATGAATGGGGAGGGAGGGCATAGACTTGCCCTAAAATTTTATCTGCTCATTCTTAGTGGCTTGAATACCCACTGTTATTCACTAAGCCCTGTCCTAAACATAGGGTGATGTAGAAGAGGGGAAAAAAACAACCCCTGTCTTGTGGGGTTTGTATTCTAGTGGGAGGTAAAAAATAACAGCATGAGAGATCGTGAACTGTGTTGAGGGGACAACACAGAAAAGAGATGTATAAAATGTCATATGCTTGGGACCAGCAGATGGCGGAACAGTTATGTCGCTGGACTCCCACATACTCAACCGCGGTTGGACCTGGCAGCTTAAAACTCATGCCAGGCCCATGTGTGTGAGTATCCAAAATCCCAAGAGGAGAATGAAGGAGAAGGGATTGTAGAGTGGCTACCTGCCCACCCCCCCTGCCAGGGGGTGATTTCTCGCTTTCTGTCTTATCTCGTTGTCTCTCTGGCAAGCACACACACCCTATAGCAAAAATATCTCTTAAAATAAGAAAAAATGTCATATGCTGAAGGAGAGTAGTATTTATAATAGTCAAATATGGGGCCAGGAAAAGCCCCATTGGGATGGTGAAGGGGTAGCTCTTGGAGAAGAGCATTTAGACAAACTGAACAGCCATTCCAAGTACTCTGAAATAGCATGCCTGCATATTTCTAGGAAAGAAGCCAATGTAGCAAAGTGGTGTGAAAATGAGAACAGCAGTAGGTGAGGTCAAAGAATTAAAAATGACAGGTTAGATGTAGTGGTGGGGATGAAGTTAGATCATGGAGAACCTCCTGACACTTTGGGCTTTTGTGTTTCGTTTTAGATTTTTGAAATAAGGCATGGGTGCTCACCAGAGAGGAAATGAAAAATCACTCCCCAAGAGGGAGGTGCTCCCTCACTTTCTCTGCTTCTGTCTCTGGCAAGTACACATACCCTATAGCAAAAGAAAGAAAGAAAAATCTGAGCCATTAAGCTACCAAAACACTGAATAAGAGCATTAACTAAAACAAAACAATGCCAGATAGAGAAGCTACTTATTTGACCAGAAGATGTATTTTCCTTGGCTGAAGATAAGAAAAGGTGAAGCACTACAAAAAGTGGCACTAACTGGAAAGTCGACAGGGCAACAAGAAGAAAAGAACAAAAGGGATTATCCTGGAGAAAAGAAATATCAGTTTTACCCAAAAGAATGTCATCCCGCCAAGTTTTTGAGAACCTATATTGATGCAGAAGGCACAGAGGGCAGCCAGTCAACACTGAAAGGAAAATTCATATTACCCATTTCAGATGTTCCTGGGGTTGTACATATTACAGTAGGCCCCCTTACCTGTGGTTTCACTTTCCCTGCTCTCAGAAAATATAAAGTAGGGGGACCAGCAGGTGGCATAATGGCTACGTCACTGGACCCCCATGTAGTTGACCATGGTTCGAGTCCTGGACCCGGTGGCTTAAATTCACGCCGGCTGCATGTGCATGCATGCCCAAGATCTCGGGAGGAGAATGGAGGAGAAGGGATTGCGGTGTGGACATCCCCCCCCCGGGGGGGGGTGATTTCTCGCTTTCTGTCTCTCTCTCTCTCTCTCTCTCTCTCTCTGCCTTTCTGGCGAGCGCACGTGCCCTATAGCAAAAACCTCTCCAAAAATATATATATAAAGTAGGAAATTCTAGAAATAAAAAGTTGGTAAATTTAAATTTTGTGTCATTCTGGATAGTGTGACGAAATCTCACCATCTCACCCAGGGTATGAATTGTCCCTTCACCCAGTACAGCCACACTGAACTAATAACCGGCATGGTAGTAACTTAGGTAGTATTCCAGGTTATCAGTTCAAAAAGAGTTTACGTAGGGTTAGGTACTTTCTGTGGTCTCAGGTACACACTGGGGGTGCTTAGGATGTATCCCCCGTGTCTGAAAGAATACAAATGTGCCATACAACTGTTAATAAAAATAGTAAAATGTAAAGTAGAGGGGATCTTGGCAATTAAGTTACAGATAAGGAAACCAAGATCATTCACAGGAAGTGATTACTGACTTAGAGATCTGGTAATAGAAGTTCAGTCCCATGCCTATCCTAATTCTGTTGATTATCATACAGTTGAGTCACCAAGATTCAGTTGTATTCCTATACTTTGTTTGAGCAGAGATAATTACATTCCTTTTTTTTTTTTTTTTTTAAGTCTGCTTCTTTCATGAGATGGGGAAAGAGAGAAACGGTCCCACTTAGGGTCTTCATGCTGCTATCCTCCCTACCAGTTCTGCAGTCAGAATCATAGGTGCATGCCCAGCTTGTTTGGGGAGACCGAGGATGGGAACCCGAAATCTTCTCACATGGCCTGCAGCATCAAGCAGAACCCCGCTGCCTGTGCCACCATAGCTGAGCCTAGTACATTGCTTTCGATATTTTCTAAATCCTAAATGCACGTTGAGTGAAAATATTTTGCCATGTGAACAGTGGTTCCCAAATGTAGGGGAAAGTCTACTTCAGATTTCATTTAACTAAAAGTCTGCCTAGTTTGGAAATGAAAGAAAATGAGCTGGTTCCATGGCCTAGTAGTTAAGGGAGCTAGATCCCACATGGTTGACTACAATTTGAATCCTAACCTAGCAGCTCGAAAAACACTCTGGGCACATGTGTGC